TGCGGCAGACGCACATACCACTACTGCATTCCCTGCAGATGTATGTGACAGTGTCTGTTATGGTGTTTCCTACAGACCTGCACACAGTGAGCATTTTTTTGCTAGAGCAGGCGGACTTTAGCTTTATGAGTGAACTAAAATTTCATGAACCATTTTTTTATAGGTTTTTCATGATCCTCTTTCTAATGGCATCAGAGTTGGGTTTTGAAAAAGTTTCCTAAGGAGTTTTCCAGAGATCCGGTCTCTGGAAAACCCTTCAGAAAACTTTCTCAATATTTAAAAACGATGCCACTGGAAAGAGCATTGTCGAAAAACTATAAGAAACATGTTTCGAGTCGTTCAGGTTACTTTATCTTTTGAAATTCAAATTTTCAGCACGAAATTGTTTGTGTGAATCTCAAAAACTAAGAAATTTCTAGAATTCAAAATCGAGCGACCGAAACTAGATGAGTTATACACCATTCGATGCAGCTTTTCACGCTGATTCCGAATATGACGTTCTTTTTAAAGAGAAGTGCGTTTACGATGGAGAAAACTTCAAAATACTCGAAAAACCCTAGGGGTTTTGGAAAATCCATAACTCTACTTAGAAGCGAAGGGGGAAAAAAGTGGAAATCCCAGTGATGCAGCATGGTCTAAAGAACATTTTAGTATATTTGGATGTTAATTTCGCGGGGGGCTAACGAGGGCGACTCGACTATACTGAGGTAGTCTCATGTCGGACTAATGCTATGAAGAATACAGGAGCTATTAGTGATTGAATTTCGCTTCGAAGTAGAAACATTTTGCTTCCAGAAGATAGCTGAGCTCATGCAGATTTCGAATATGTGTTTTCAAATCGTTTCACATAGCTGAGTGAGCAAAGAATCGCGTTTCTATATATATGTGTTGAGTTTTGCCCTATCCGTTAAGGCTTTTTTGTACTCTTGTTTCTGATCGAAGGAGTCTATGTTAAAATAGACATTTATACACCATTCGATAGCCCTTTTGATGGGCTATATTTTTGACTATCTCTATTGGAAAAACGATTAACTTCGATTTTTCGCCTAATGTCCGCCTAGATGCCCACTGTGCTGCACAGGTCTGCTCGTGAGTATTTTGCATGCTGGAATTGAATGGCAGGCTTGTTAACAGGCCCTCCCATATAAAACTTTTTTAATAAAATAAAAATAATAAACTTAGTAGGATAACCATATTATATCCTAGCTGATCATGTAAAATCCTATCAAATCCTACAGTAAGATTATATAGGATCTTATACGATCTTATAAGTTCCTCTTGTAGGATCTCATAGGATACTGGATAGGAATCCTGCATCATTTCTTGCTTTAAGATGGCAGCAATATACAAAGGTAAAGAGGGTGCAGAAAAAATGTTCTGCCCCTTCCACTATATTTTTATTGTTTTATTGAGTAATAACCCACCCAGTAAAACATCATATTTTTCTTTTAGTATGGTTTTGTTATTATTACTCAACAAAACAATAAAAATATAGTGGAAGGGACAGAACATTTTTTCTGTACCCTCTTTACCTTTGTATATTTTCTTATCTTTAAGCCGTCACATATGAGACAGCTAACGTCTTCTTCTATAATTGTAGGTGGAATAAAGATCTTCTTGTGAGAGTTAATTGAATGTATACATCAATCGTCGGTGATAGTGGTTACGATGATTTTCAAGATATAAATGATGAACGTGTGCAAGAGACCGTGCCACCTGCCTTGCTGTGTCCAATATGTTATAATTTAGTATGGAAACCTGTTGAATGTTATAATTGTCGACGTATATTTTGTACAAAATGCATTGATGAAGCAGTACGAGTTAACCCGGGTACCTGCCCATGCTGTCGCAATTATAGAAAGGAGTCTTGTTCACCTATTATTTATTCTGTACTATGTGGATTACATATTCAATGTTATTTTGCATCTAATGGTTGTAGTCAAATTTTATCGTATGAACAATTAGAACAACATGAAAAATATGATTGTTTATATCGAAAACAACAATGTCGAGGTTGTCGGAAGCCTTTTATGAAAAAAGATTTGAACGAACATGAAAAGAATTGCGAACATATTGAAATTACATGTTCAAAATGTCAGCTAATATATAAACAAAAACAAAAACATGATTATCTAGATTGTCTGCTACACAGACAACATATCTTGGAACAAAATATGGTACATAATGACAAGTACAGAGAATATATCAAAATTATCGATGAAAAATATAAATATTATCAAGAACAACAAGAACTATTTCAACAAAAGTTTACGCGCACGGTAAAAAAGAATGAAGAAAAGCAAACGAACAGAGTGCAAGTATTAGAACAAAAACTAGAACAATTATTAGAATCACAAGATAAGTTTGAATTTACGTTGAATACAATTCAAAAAGATTTAAAAAGTAGCAATGACAATTACAAAAAAGATCATACTTTAATTGAACAAAAATTAATTGATTCACGGGAAATCAATCAATCAATGGTGAATGATGCACTTAATAAATATTATAGTGTATTGGTAGAAAAGATCGAATTATTGAGACAGGATAACGATAATAAAAACGCTTCATTACAACTTAAACTTGAGAATCTTGTTTCAAAAGGAGTCAGGCATTGTGGATATCCGTTTTTCGAAGGAGACGACTAAAACTGGACGTGGAGGGGGTAAATTAATTCGGACGTATCGTAAACGAGCTTTTGTAAGAAACAATTGCTTGTAACGCATTTTCCGGCCGTGAGTATGTAGATAAGGAAAGATAAGATCTTGACAAAGTTGTATGGCACTGTGTAATTCTACTCCGCAACTAATCTGATCGGTGAGTAAGCAAAATTTTGATTATTTGCTTTTATATAAAACTATAAGATTTTGTGCTAACGAGGGAAGCTTCGAGGTGATAAATCGCTTTTCGACTCGACTATTTTCATCATGTAGGCCTTGATGAGCAGTGAAAAATCCCAGGTTGGTTTCTCCCCATGGTGCTTTGGAGTGGAGCTGGAAAATTTTCAAGTTTGGTCTACCAGAAAAACCAAGGAAATCTACTCTTATTTTGCAGTTTCATCGTCAAATTTCAAGTTTTTCTCAAAACTAACATCGTATTTCGAAATTGGCGTTAAAAACTGCATCGAGCCACCGTTGTCTAAAAGAAATTGAAATTTGATGGCGAAAACTGCAAAATACGAGTAGATTTCCTTGATTTTTTCTCGTAGACCAAACTTGAAAATTTTCCAACTCCGCTCCAAAGCACCATGGGGAGAAACCAGCTTGGGATTTTCCACTATTCACTATGGCCTACATGATGAAAGTAGTCCGAGTTGAAAAGCGATTTATCACCTCGAAAGGTTCCCTCGAAATAGGAAGTTAATTAATTCAACTCTATGCCTGCAATAATCAGAGCGCGAGCAAGAGACCAACTGTGGTTCGTGAAGATTAGAAAGTTAGCTGAGTTAAATGGCAGTTAAAGACGCTCAGAACACAAAAGAAAATTGCAAACAGAAATGCAGACCGTATTTGCTTTTCTGATGAAATATATAGTAACGAATGTGAGGATGCCGTGTGACGAATCTCATCGATCAACTAACTCATTACTTCAGATTCAAATGACCTTTTCATCAAACCTTTACGATCGCGAATGACTTGAAACAAAAAAGTGTGAGAAAATATGAAATTTTTCTATTTCTTATTTTGAGCAGACGCTCCAGAGGAAAACATCAAAATGTATTTTATTTCGTATCTCTCTCTTGAATAGCCGTGTATTGTTTAGTTATTAAAATGCCATTAATTATGTTAGACTCTGAGAATCTATTTCTCTATATTCAGTCTATTCACACATTCGCACAATTGACGTTCATAGATTTAGTACTCGAGACCGTTGCGCACATACACACTATGTACCAGCTGATTTACTATCTCATCACACGCTCTAGAATACACATGCAACACAGCAAGTAGTGAGCCACTATAGAGCATATGTCTCGCAGTTTGTATTCACTGTGGATTATCACGTGACCGCTGATTATCTCATAGAGACAACGGCAAAGCCCTATAAAATACATTCTCATTACATGATAATCGAAACATAAATCGAAAAACTAATTTCAGATGTGTCATCTACAGCTCCTCTACTTTCGAATTATCTTTTGTCCAAATCTGTACGATCAGGAACAGCTGAGAACGGGTGGTTGATTCGAGAGAGAAAAGAAGGCCAGATCCTAACTACCGTGCGGAAAAATTGGAAAGTCGAATGAGCGGAGCAGCAGTTAAAAAAGGTTAGTGATTTGCCGTACGTATGATGGGTTGTTCTTTCGAAAATGTACCACGGTTACATTGACTTTATCCGAATTGTTCGAGAGTAACAGAACCAGTACAACTCGGGCTCCCGATAACGGATATCACGTTTAAAAAATTTTAAAACAGCGGCATGGCGGCCTTCTAGACCTGTGTAAATCCCATTTCCCAGCAGTTAATTAAAGCATAGTTTCAAAATTGTTTCAGATGTTTAATGATCTAGAACAGCTCGTCTTTCGATTGATGCTTTTGCCATTTTAGAACGATCAGGAAATGACTGAGTAAAAACGGCTGACTTGTAAGATAAAAGTGTCCAGAGAAAAAGATAGAAAGAAGAATCTTTTGTAATAAAAGCAATAAGTCTCCTATCGTTTCACTCAGTCGACTGAATAAACGAAGGATGGAAAATCTGAAGAAAAATCATTGTCAACTGTAAGAAAATTTTCCGCTTCGTGGAGAGAAACAGTATCTATTCTAAACTATTCGAAGAAACTGGATTACGTGGAGGAAGGGCAAAAAACGCTTTTTTTACTGGATATCTCGAATGGATGGTTTCAAACTTATACAAAAGTACACGACAAATGAAAAAAATTATATAACAAGAATTAATAATTTAGAAGAAGCCATAAAACGATTGACAATAATGACTAAAGAAAATTTACGTAAAATTGAGCATATGAAAACTGAATTTCAATGGGATGATGCAACAGATACAAGTCATCTTGTGCATATACTTCGGTTAACGGCACCACAGTCAAATATGTATTTATCATTAATGAATCATAATATTGAACAGAATATACCATATCCATTTCTGGCGGAACATTGGACACCTGTCTATAATGAACCGTTTGATCATCCGACAACAGCAGAGGAATTGGGATCTCTAATATCCCAATGTAAGAAAGAAATAATTGTCGCTGCCGCAGAGAAAAGTACTGCGACAGTATTAGCATTGGCAGCTTGTGGTCCAAAAGATATATTACAGTTGAACACAAAAAAGAATCAACCAGTTCAATTTGGAAATGTTTATTGGTATTTAACACCAAAATTTTCATTTGGCTTTTCACCAACACCAAATATTAATCAAAGTATCATTGATACGGAAGATGAACAAGGCGATAAACGACTATCCTGGTTTCTTGATGGTTTTAGTGGTGGTTATCGTGCGGGCACGAAAAAAAAGTTAAATGATAATCGCAATTGGCGTAAAATAATTCTTACTCTGAAGTAAAAGTTAAAAGGCTTTACATTAGTTTACGTAATATTGTATCTTGAAACTCCAATAATGTATCTTTTGAATTATACCCATATTTTCTGAATCAAGAAAATTTAATTTTATTATGCACTTAAAAGTTTTATATGCAGATAAAGGTATCTTTTAGAATGTCCGTGATCGTAGACAGCGGTCCTTATCTAACATTGAAACGTTCTCTTAACGTTCCCACACATGGTGAAAAGTATTTCTTATCTGTAAAACAGCTCCTCAAAGAAATGTAACATCTTCATGAGCCTTCCAAGAAACACATTCCGAAATAAATCTACAAAAATTTGCCCTGCAGAAATATCTTTGAATATAAATACGATAAAATTCCATCACGATGCATTGGTTCAAAAGTTTCAGCCCCTTTGTATCCTTCTTATCTATATGAAATACACATAACAAAATTCAGCTGTTGTTTCGCAAAAGATTCACCATTTAATTCTCTACAAAATGGTATATAGGAGATGATCCTGAGAGTTGAGATTCCGTCTTAGTTGAACAGAAATCGAAATGCCCCAAAACATTCAACTCGAAAAATTCTATTTTGTCAGTATAAGTTTGAATCTATGCGTTGTGCACACTTCGAAAATGCCCAAATGTAGCCCTTGGAATTCTCTATCGAATGGCTAAAAATGCAAATTTTCTGCCATTTCCCCTGTTTTTCAATAATGCTTTTTGCAGAAGTCCTGTGACTGTTTTTTCAGCTTTTTCAACGTACATTTTGGATCCGTTTGTAAAATGAACAGTGCTCACTCGAAAATGAACGAATTATGCTCATTCTTGCGTCATTTTGAAGAGCAACGTTTTATCTATTCGATAGCGAAATGTCTGATGTTACTTCCCTGGAAATAATCGAAACGTTGAAACTATCATTTTGTTCAGTTTTTGCTGCCAATCATTTATACCACGTGGAACGGATGGGATGAAATGAATCTTGCCTCAACTGATGGAGGATATTTAAATGCGGCAAGAAACGACCAGAGATCTTTTTTCTGCCACTTTGCATGCGGGTTTCAAAAGTCAAAATTGTCGTCGGAAAATTTTTTAATTGTTTGGAAGTTTTGAGACATTTCAATTTCTGTTCAATTAAGACGGAATCTCAAATCTCAGGATCATCTCCTATACAATTTAATGTCCTCTATAGCACTACGCTAAAAATCGACTCTTTTTCAACTAAAAACTGAAGCTTTTATTGAAATTTTAAAAAATTTTGATGTAATTTTTATTCTTCAACTTGAACAGATATTCACCTGCAAAGTCTTGCACGTAGAACAAGAAAAGTTTTATCTTATCTCTGTGGAAATTTGGTTTGTGTTTATCATATTTCACAGATACACCTGTGAATCCTTCACAAAGTTCCTAGTAATAGGACAGTACCTGGAAAAATTGTATGTAAGTAACTTATATAATACGCATATTCTCATTATCTATCATTCAGTTTTCATATCACCGGATCGAAAAATTTTAAAAGGTTGTTCGGTCAAACTCGATTGCAGATTCGTAGTCCCCATGCTCGATTATCCGGTGCGCGATAACTAAGTGTGAGGCTGAAAAAAATGTCGACGAAATTATCATTCTATGAAATAATTGCTTTTTCGATGAAAAATGAAAATTTCCGTCTTACGAAATAAGTTTTCCGATTGGGTCAAATTTTTTCTTTTTTCTTATTGCTGTTCTATAAAATATCGTTCGATAAAAATTCTGGGATTGATCATCTTCTATGAACACCTCAGTGTTTTATTTCGTAATCCTCCTAAAGTTCTTCTACAAGACAAAAAAATGAAACAAATTCGTGTCAGCAGCCGAAAGAAAGGAAAGAAATATTAATCAATAACCGACGTTTGATTGGATATCAGTCTACGGCATTACGAGAACGTGTGAGATTCTTTTTTTACAATTGATATATGTATGCATAATGAATAAGTGTTCGAAAATCAAAGTTAATTTAACTGTAGCACTGATTGCATTAATGGCAATATATCATCGAGATTTAGTTGTCGTTTAAGACAAGAATGAACATCATTTGATACTAGTTGAATACGTAAACATCGACTTATAAACATACTAAACGCCACTATAGCGCCAGATTCCCCAAATACATATTCCATATAACACCACAAGAGTTTTGCATAAAAGTTTTGTGCCGTATATATTTGATATATGTTTTGAAAAGAATTTATTTCCATTTGACTTGTAGTTGTTAACAAACATCCACTAAATAACATAATAATTAGCATTAATTTAATAATCATTGGATCATGTTGAAATAAACTTATACTAAGTACATTTTTTCTCATATTTTGATATAATTCTTTTCCATGTACCGATATCATAAAATCGATATGATCGGAAGGTGATGTTGTTGATGCTAATTTATATCGAATTAGAGCTAAATTTATAGGTATTAGTACTCGAAAATTATATTTAGTCAAGAGAACTTGATCATCGACATTTATTTTTTGAAATTCTGGTATTTGTTTAAAATAAGATAATAATTGCATTACCCAAACACTTTTTTTATTCACAAACTCATTAATAGTTGTTGTGTTCAATGAATGACGATTTAACACAACAGGTTTTGCTTTTTGATCGTATAATATAAAAATATTATTTAAATGACACCAGTCATCTTGTGTTAAACTTGACTTATCATTTGACAGTAAACTAAGTGTTTGAATCTAAAAATAGAAGAAATGGATAAACTTGATATTTATCAAAGAAAACTCATGCAATAGTTTTATCACCGGAAGGACATCTAACGCGTTCGAAAAAACCAGCTGGAATAGGCTCAAAAACTTTTAGAAAACACGTCGGAACGACTTAGACATCTTTCTAACGCGTGTGAATACGTTCTCTTTCATAATCACCAATTTTAAAAGTTAAAAAGATGCGTTCGAATGTGTGCGGGCTAAAACAATGACACAAAATGACATACATTCTAGCGCATTGCAACGCGGTCAAATCGGTCAAATGAACTTGTTGTTCAAACTAGTTCAGTTTTTCTAAACATGTTGGAATGCGCTCTAAATCCTTCATGTTTTAACTTGTCAGAGTTAGAAACACGTTCGAACAAATTGATTTAACCACGTTGCAATTCTTTCCGAAACGAAGAACGCGTTCGAACGCGATCGTTTTCAGACGAGTTACGGCTCGTTAGGTCCATTACTGTACAACGAACATATTTGGATCTGTCATATATTTGCTCTTGTATTTTTCCAGTTTCAGCTTTCTTTGGATGGACTCTAAGGCCCGTCCAGTAAAACCTAGTAGAAGTGTGCCTCAGCACTAGAGCAACTGCTTCTTATAGGAAGAGAGGAGACTTACAAAATTTTCAAAGCTGAAATACTTACTACACGTGCATAACGATATGTTGAAGGTGTATTTAAGTCCTATTGAACTTAACATATTTAGAAGTTATAACTTCGTTAAAAAAACTTGTTGAAGGTACCCAAGTGAGATACTTACTCGAATCTTACTAAAATCTTAGTAAGATTTCGCGTACATTTCTCTGAGAACTAAGACAAATCTAACTAAGTTCGTAAGACCCAAAAATTCTAAGATCTGATAAGATTTTTCTAAGATCTTAGATAAATGTACGGGAAATCTTACTAAGACCTTAATCACATTTTTCTAAGATCTTACTAAGATTATACTGTCTAAGATTCCTTCAAGATTGGGTGGAATCTGTTAGGATCTAAATAGTAAGAACGATGATGTTTTTTAAATAGTATTCATTCGAGATTCGCTAGAATTTTTGAATTTGTTAATCCGCATTATCCAAAGCAGCGGTTGAACAGTGTTGAAGGATGAAGAGAAATTATATAATGAGAGTAAGGGGTGAATGGAAGTAGAGTCGTTAAATCTTATCAAAATCTTAGAGGATAAGATCTTATAATATCTTAGTAATATAATTTTAAAGAGCGTCTAAGAATTTTACTAGGGTACAACTTTGATAAAGTCCGGCATTGAAGTTATAACTTCTATAAACATGCTAACTTCAATAAGTCATATATATTCCGAGCGTTTGAAAATGTGCTTTATTTTCAACAAAGCTTTGTTTGCAACAGCCAAGTACTCTGGCACCAAGGGATCTGATGATCCTGCACTGATGATCCCTGTACACGCTGAGTTTAGTAAAGCATGTGGTATGTAAAGTCTGTATTGTATCCACTGTTAGGCTGCAGGTGGCTCCAACACACTGCAGGAGAAAAATAAAAATTTTGTCGATGACTCATTGTTTTTGACGGGTTCGATGACTGTAGTCGTTATTTATTTCTAGGAATGTCAGAATGTTTTTTGACTTTTAAACCCGTTAGAGCAAATTACTTAAAGATCTTTTGTTATAAAGAAGATCTAAGACGTCCATTGTATGTATTCTAACCTGTTGGGGCGCGTAAATGAATCAGTCGAACGCGTGTTACGTTATTATGTATGATTCACAGCTTTTTGACGATACAGTATCCTCTCTACGTGAATCTGTGATTATTTGATTATATGTTGGTTTATTTTATTTCAATATCTCGCATATAATGAATGTATATAATGTTCGTGCTTTAATTTTCGTTCTTTTACCTTCTTTTTGCTCTATTATATAATAAATTCTGTTTGCAATAAGATGAATCTATTTCTATGGATTTTGTAGATATAAAGCGTCTGTTGGACCGCATTAAATCTTGAATTTAAAAATTTGTTCTAAACGCGTTAGATATGTGAACATACTATCAATTTACGGTAAAGCATTTGAATGAGTTAGATAATCAAATATTTATGATGCGTTCAAACGATTTTGCATTTTAACGAGTTGAAAGGCGTTCCAAAGAAACTTTAAAAAATGAAGGAGCCTGAACGCGTTAGTTTTATACCTCTTCTTTCTCTATCACGTTGAAATGCGTAACAAATTTGTTTTCATCACATTAAAAAAAAACAGTTATTTTATAAATTTCCTTCCGGACGCGCTGAAACTTTCGTTTAGGTAATAAAATTATCTCATGGGAATAAATTACTTACAGTCTGTTTAATATTATTTTTATTTTTGTTAAATTCATTTTTCTTTTGTTTTAACTGTCGATTATTTTCAATCTGATATTTTTTCAATTGTTTTTCTTCTTCACTTCGAATCCATTCTTTTCGCATTCCAACATTAAAACATTTTTGAAGACAACAATAAGTACAATGTCGACGGTTGACCATTACTACTTCACAATGTCCGGTAAAACGACATCTTAAGCCAGACTAGAAATGAAGAAAACTATTCAGTATCATCAACAAAGTCTTAATCGTCAGTTTCTAATATCACTAATTTCTTAGCCAAAATTTTTTTTAGCAATTCGGATAAGAATCTTATAGTCTATCTATTTACGAAAAAAAATCAATATATTGTTATGTCGAATTTTCCAGCCAGGGAGCGGTTTTCCAGAGATCTTCTTGAAAGCTGATTTTTGAAAAACATTTCTAAATATTTCCTGCTGACGAAAACATGCTCTTAAGTCTTGGCTATCGAATAGCGAAAATCGCGAGCCTTCATCTACTTTCGTTCAGCAGCTATTCAGAGAACAGCCACTGCTCCTGTATTTTGGTTTCGATAACGTTTTCACATCAAGTAACTGTTGTATAAAGTGATTAATATCTGTATTATACACACTACAAAGAAAATATATCGTCTATCATTTCATTTCAGCTTAGCAAATAATTGTACATTTCCTGAAGAACTTGCTTTCAAAACACTTTATGCCCTTCCCGATTCACTATAGTTTAGGATGCAATTACCATACAGGCATACATTTCTCTTCATTAGATGCAGCAAATTCCCTACGTATTCTTTGGTTTGACCAGGATACAACACGACGAGAAATGGCAGTCAGAATGCAGCAAGATCTTGGTGAACAGATAGTATTCAGCAGTAATAGAGACACATGTTTACAATTCATCGATGCACATTCTCATAAACAAATATTTCTCATTCATTTATTTCCGATTACAATATTAAAGGTTTCGCTGTGAACGCTCATGACTTTTTACAAATACATTCAATATATATCTATTGTTCCTACGATGATATTCGATTGTTTAAACTCTGGGCTGAAGCATATCCCAAAGTGTGGGGCATATTCAGTCTAAGAGATCGTTTATTTAACAAGCTTGGAATTGACCTAGGCTTGTACTGCACAGAGGAGGGTGATAAATTTAAAAATGGCAGTAATATGAACTTGGCTAGTATTTGTTATAAACGAGCGATGAACTTGTACAACACAATATCCGACCAGTAAAGGATTGATCATTTAATATTTGTTCGATATTTTCACTTTAGAGAGTTGAAATGAACAACAAACCATGTAGAAAATAGTCTTTACTCTCTAGAGTAAAACGTTGAGTCTGATCATATCTATTTGATTTTGCCAGCCTGATGGTGAGAGCGCATAAACTTTTTCTCGCACTGTTTCTTCTAATGAGATTCCTTTCTCTCAAATATGTAAAGAGGAAGAAAGAAAGAGAGTACGACAGGTTAGTTGGAAAAAACCAAGATATGTGTAATCAACAAAAGGTAAATATGTTTATCGATAAAAAGTCATGTGGATTGTCCCTCGAATGGCCAAAATAAACGCAAACAGCGCAATTTGACTACTCTAATAGACTAAAATAAGAAAATTTGGCACGGTTCTTATAACAATCGTGCTGAAGTCATAAATGTGTACGACCAAAATGAGCTTTTGATGCAGTGTAATACAAGAGTTTTATGAGATTGTGGTACAATTGGAAATATAACTTTTTCACTAGCCTCTTGCAAAATATTATCTGTGTTAACTTTGGATGTTTGAAGGTTATACTTGAACAATGCGAGATCTTCGTATCACTTACGGTTCATGAATGCCATTTCAGCTCGTGTTGCCAGTATCACTGCGCACGTTTCACCTTAATATCCACAGATGTGTATTCATCCGATGATTTTCAAATGCATATCCGTAAGGAGTTTTTATTGTTGTTTTGCGAAAGACAGTTCGATCAATTTGTTTTGTTTTTTAAATAATTCAAAGACGATAAAAGGTAGAGACTTGTGATTTTCGTCATTCGAAAGAGCACAGTTTATTCTGTATTTTCATAAGCAGAAACCTTTTCTGAACAAATTTGGTCGAAGCTTTAATCCTGAACCAGATCGACATCGAGAATATAACTTCCCATTACAAGAAATTTCTGAAAATGGTTTTCCGGGGTATCTCTGGAAAACTAGTTTCTAATTCAAAAATTCTGCGCAACAATCCATTTTTTCTGATGGCTAAATATTTCAAAGTGTCTTCTACAAAATAAGATCTAAACAAAGGTTTCATTTTGCTTGGTTCAGGAGGATCGGACGTTTTTTCCGAAGCCCTGAGACTGCTCTATTCTTCATTCTGTGACCTTCTGAAATCATGAAAACATAGGTTATCGAGCACACTGAAAAGAAAGTGCAAGAACGGAGTAAAAACTTGTACTAGGTGAAATAATCCATTGTAAGCTATTTTTATTTTCATCAGATCAGCCATGGTTTAGTCAAAAGTTAAGACAACTTTCTCGACAGAAAAACGCTTGTATAGAAGGCAAAAACAAAATAATTCCTTAGCATCTTCCAAAGTGAAGTATTTAAAAGTAGCTATCGAATTCGAAGCATGTGAAGTTGAGAAAGAAAATTATCTAAAAAAAATACGTCAAACTAATGCATCAAAAAAATCATGGTGGAATTTAGTCAAAATATTATTTCGACGGTCTCGCTCTTCGAAAATTTCTAAATTAAGAGATCAAAATGATCAGGAATGGTCCGACGACAAAATGAAAGCATATGTTCTTAATCAACATTTTGCCTCCATATGCCCTATGACTACGGCCGATTATGACAAAGATATTGCATTTGATAAGCTCAATCTCTCAACTACTACATTAGATCTTTTTACGGTAACCACTAATGAAGTTGAAAAATGCTTAAAAGCGATTGACGTTAGTAAAGCCACCAGCCAAGGCATAAGTTCAAAAAT